GTGTGTTTACATTTTTGAGACATGTCAGTGGTCTACTAGTAGTACTGTTAGGTAGGATAGGCAATTACTTTACATAGGGATTGAGCTACTTAGCAGTACCTCTCATTGTTGTCATTGTTCGGCTCTAATGTTATGATTATTCATTTCGTCTTGTTAATAAACAGTTATCTGTATTTTGAGATACCTTGTTGAGTTATTGAATCGATTGCTTGTGTGACCACTACATGCAGTGTGCGAACCTGTAGTGAATACAGGTCTGTAACCTGACGTAGAGGCGAGGTCTAGAGAACACAGGTCTGTAACCTGACGAAGAGGCAAGGTCTAGAGAGGACTGCAGGGGAAGTTGTCGACTCGTAATAATTACCAAAACATATACAATCACTACACGGATTCAACAGAGTGACAACAGATGCACCCCCTCTCCGGAACTTTCTTATTGCAATCGTATAAATGTAGGTTTACCGTCCTTACATTGCCATTTTTTCATATTCTACAGATCTTTTAGCTTCTCATTTAGTTACGACTCGGCTTTTAAAATGCCGAAAATATTGAAATATTGCAGAAAAAATGCGTAAACATTATGCTTCAAAAATTAGAAAAACAATTGTTAAACTTTGGTTGAAAAATAAAACCATTCCTGTTAAAACGCCGAATAATACTGCCAGCTCCAAAATGCTAAAAGAAAGCACGCCACAATACCGCCAAAAACACGTACATCGAAATTATACATAGACAATATATTTTAAATCAAGGTCGTCTGGAATTACCTAGATGATATGATTTTTCTCACATATATCTATAATTATAATTACATAATGTTATATGTCCAACACCAATTGATCCAATATATCTATTTTTATTGGATGTTTTTGTTTTCCTGCACTATATATAATATCATGAACAATTATTAAGTTCTGATCACCATACCTGATATGACAATGAGTGTAAAGGTACTAATTGATGACATAGAGTCACCTAATGTAGGTTTAGGTATATATGTAAAGAGTGATGGCAATAGGTCACTTCGGCTCATATGACCTAACGTATCTAGTTCTTCCTGTCATTCTGTTGCTGACTCTTCTTATAGAATTGTGTCGTTCCGTAAAAAGAAATATAAATAGTTTGCGTTAAATATGTTAAGTTCCTGATGAAACATAATATGTATGGTAGGTAGAGAAAGAATGAGAGAAAGAAACGATGATACATTTGCTTCTTTTGTCACGCCAAATATCGCATATTGGAACTATTCACCATTGTTAGCAATGTCTTGATACATATTTAGTTTTTAACATTAAAACTTGTTCAGCCCATTTTCCATACAAAAAGACGCCGAAAAATATCAAACGCTTTTCTGAAATTGATAGCAAAAGGGTTTTTCTTGGGTTTTTTTTAATAACAGATATACAAAAGTATGAAGTGGGAAATTTGATTTAGCTATCTAGTTTTGTTTCCCCTTTTCAATAAATTGTACCTGCTACATCCAAGCCAGTCTCGGCTGAATCATATTTGGTTTTTGTTTTTGTAAATAGGTATAAAAAGTTATTGAAATTGTTTGCATTCTTTTAGGTAGATTTCTGTTCTCTTGAAGGTGGAGTTTAATGTCAATGTGCAATTGACGCGTTGTAGATGAACATTATTTAACACAGTTCAACATGGTATTTGATAATTTCGACTTACATAAACCGAAAATATTTGCATTTACAAATGCAGAGCCACACAGACACATTGGACTCTCCACAATGTTGTCGTGAACTCCTAAATTTGGGTAGCCACGTGTTGGTGACCTCCATCTCGTGACCACGGCTGGGGTCTCGTGAGCAGATACACACATCAGCACATGGCCAACGCAGACACAAATTCTTATCTTGTTTATCTTGTCCACTTCAAGTTTAAATATATGGTCAACCCACGCGCAGTTCCGGATATGTTCATTTTTTTCAATTTCAACAAATTCTATTGACAATAGTAAATAGGATCAGACATCAGGCATAGCCTATCTAAGTCCTCTCCTTAAAGTTACAACAGGTGGTAAAAACACAGGCATATATTTGTACATTGATATGATGTTTGGGATAAGTGGAAGTAACTCCTTGATGTAAACAGACTTGTTCAATATTCTTGAGATATAGTAACCCTTTCACTAGGGATATTTAATTTGAGATATTTACTAGACTATTATCTTCAGTGAATACTATCAAGTAATAGACAATGAGTTACTGGTATTCATATAAGGTAAACTGTTGAGTATAAATATTTGGTGATATTGGATTTATTCCCTCAACAGATACAGGCCATACAGTAATCTGTTTTATGAAGTTCCTTTTGCTCTAACTCATAGAAAAGCAAACCTTTGAAACTAAAACAACTTAACATTTCGATTTTAAATTATATTTCATCTTATACCAAAATATATCATATTGATTCCCAAAGCATACATGTATATGTCCAAGTTCTAACTTGTTTCAGTTATATGCCCATGTTATGTATAACTGAACTTTTGAAAATTGGTAAAATCCACTGAGGGTATTTAACAATATCATAAATTCACCCGATAAGCGCGTTTACATCTATATGAAGGTCAGATAAAACCCGTGACCAGAGACAGGTCAAGATACTAGGTCGTCAAACCATTGCTCAGTTAATTCTATTAGCTTTGCCAAAATCAACGATATTTTCATTTTGGTAGTATATAGATAACTATACACCAAGATAAACAACGTGCATTTATATGTAGTTCGTAAGAGAATAAACAAACTGTTAAAAAGCACCGTACACGTCTTTCTGAATATCGACCCTCGACTCACTTAACCAATAAATGGAGCATGAGATTGTCCGAAATGGTCCTGTCTGTCACAAAGTAAATAAATTACTCGTGAGGCCCTCCCCACGTGCCTGATAATCCAGGACGTGATTTTATATAACGTTATATAAACTTGTTACACAACCAAACCTATATAAGAGCTGATGGTCCTGAGTTACCGGTAGCTACACGGCGTCATCATGAAGGTACTTGCAGTCATCTCCCTCCTCTGTTTCGTGTCTCTAGGGTATTGCCAGCAGGGTAATTTGGTGGAGCTTGCGGAACAGCTTGGCGCCAAGACTCTGGTAGCCCTAGTCAAGGAGGCTGGTCTTGCCGAAACCCTTTCAACCGGAGGTACATTGTATATTGACAGGCTTATATTTATATTAATTTAATGTTACTTTTTCAAATAATAAACCAGCATTTAAATTTATACTGAGCTCGTTCTTGACATGTCCCTAATCCAGAACGCGGAAAGTTTTCATTGTAAAATCCTTTCATTGCCTTACAACATTTCAGGTTACGTTTACATTTATACATACATAAGCCTGAGTTATGACAACATTTCAGGTTACGTTTACATTGATACATATATAAGCCTGATTTTCGTGGCAATATTGCAATATTTGTACAAACATACATTAATCTGATGTATATTGAAGTTGTCCGGTCCCGTACATACAAACAAATGTGTATTACTGTTTTGGTTAAGTTTGAATATGCTAATAGTGTCTTTTCAATCGTTGTTGTTTTTAGGGTCTCTTTGAGGTCCATCGTTGTTGTTTTCAGTGTCTTTTTGAGGTCCAAATTTGTCCTTTTCTACTGACGTTGTAGTGTATATAACTATATGTATTTTGTCCTTTTATGATTGAGCTATAGTATATTTTGCTTTGTTTATTGACGGGTGTATTTTGTCTTTGTGAGTTGGTTTGAAATGTTTTTCTTGCAAATTAATGATGTGTATTGTGTTCTAGTGTGATGACATTGGTATATTTGTCTTTGTGTGTTGTCGCTGTAGAATCTTTTATAATCAACTAGTTTGTATTGACGCTGTGGTGAATTTTGCTCTTATGTGTTTACGCTATTATATCTGTACTTTGTGTTGACGCTGTAGAATAGTTTAACATCGTATATTGACGCTGTGATATATTTTGTCCTTGTATGTTTACGCTGCAGACGACTTTATCATTGTTTCGACGTTGTAGTGTAGTTTGCCTTAGGGTGTTTAGTGCTGACGCTGTGGTATATTTTGCCCTTTTGTGTTTACACTGTTGCGTATTTTGCCCTGGTATGGTGAGAATATGGTACATTTTGTTTTCGTTTGTTGACTGTTTTGTTTGATCTTTGTGTCCTGCTTCTGTGGACTATTTTGTCCGTGTGAGTTGACGCTGTGGTAGTTTTGTCCGTGTGTTGACGCTGTGGTAGTTTTGTCCTTTTGTGGTGACGCTGTGGTAGTTTTGTCCATGTGTGGTGACGCTGTGGTAGTTTTGTCCGTGTGTGGTGACGCTGTGGTAGTTTTGTCCTTGTGTGGTGACGCTGTGGTAGTTTTGTCCTTGTGTGGTGACGCTGTAGACGTTTTGGTATATTGTGTTATGTTTTGTTAAAGGTGTTTTGACATTGTGATATAATTTTATGTTGTGCTATTAAGTGGTGAAGCTGTGATATATTTTGACACTTTACGTTGACAATGTGATCGATTTGTATATTTTGTCATTATGTGCTGCCGATGTATTTGTCCCCATGTATTGACGCTGTGGTTTATTTTTTCCTTGTGCGATGTCACTATTGAATACATTGTCTTTGTTGCTGTTGTGCTATGATTTGTCATTGTTTGTTGAAGCTGTGATATATTTTATTCTTCTATGATGTTTCCCTACACGGTATTCTGTGGTGTTCCTCTCCAGGTCCCTTCACTATCTTCGGTCCAACCGATGATGCTTTCACCAAGTTGCCACGCGTCATTATTAATTACCTAAAGAAGAACAAGACAGCGCTACAGGATGTCCTAAAATATCACGTGGTCAGTGAAAAGGTGTACTCCTCTCAGCTGTCCAACGAACTCCAGGCTGCCTCTTTGTTGACTCCAGCCAAGATTAGGATCAACATTTACCAGGGCGGCAAGGTACGCAACTTGTTAATGGTTAAAGGTCAAGAAGATAGTGGTTCAATGTCAAATATTTGTACAATAGTAACTGCTGGTCAAGACGTCCGAGGGTAATGTAATTGTAATGTAATTGCAATGTCCTCAGTATTAATTTATCTATTAAGAAATCATTTTTTTTTGGTATTATCAAGGGTTACTTTACGGGAATAAAGTGTATATTCTAACGCAATAATACTGAAAACAGTATAGTTACAAAATATGTGTGAATTCTTTTTGAGACTTTATATAAGTGAAGATAAAATTATTATTAAACTGTATCTTTCGGTGCCACAGGTGGTGACTGCCGATGGCTCGCCAATTGTGAAGGTTGACCAAAACGCCACAAACGGTGTGATCCACGTAGTAGACCGTGTAATGTTTCCCATCCCGATCGAGTCTATGGTGGACATGGTGAAGGCCGATCGTCAGCTTAAAACCCTTCTCGCTGCCGTTACTGCCGCCGGTATAGGTGGCGCTCTCGGTGGTAAGTCTTTAGTACTCATGAAAGGGGTGGGTCTGAATGCGCTGTCGGCAATAAGTCTGCAGTGCCCAGAAATGGGGCAACCATGGAAACTGTCCTTGGTACGAAACCACTGTTAACAAAATATATGACATTTGAGGCTGAATCCGGAATGGGAGAGAAATGATTGTCAAAAGTATTTTCTTTTCTTATCGAGTAAATGATGACCCAAATGTGATGACCTTGCTGAAATGATACAGTTGAATAGTAAACGTTGAGGAAATATATACAAGCTGGCAAATCTTTTGTTTATCATGGTAACTAAATTTTGTTTGCTCTTTTCTGTCTATAGCCGACGGTCTGACCCTCTTTGCTCCGACAGACAAAGCCTTCGCCAAGCTTCCAGCCGGCACACTGGACAACCTACTGAAGAACAAGACCGCTTTGACCGGTAAGGGAGAAGGTTACTTTGGGTCATTTTCACACATCCTCCTGGTGTTTGCAGCGCTTATGCAAAATAAAGGAAGGTCTATTTAACTAAGATAGTATAATGACCGATATCTATATTGATGCCCATAGTCAACAAGATATTTACAGGTCTGCAACTTTTAATGTATAATTAGTCATTATGATTGTTAGAGCACTTAAACATTTAAACTCTACACGTGTTTCTTATATATACAGAGGTACTGACGTACCATGTTGTCAAGGGAACAGCCTTCAGCGCAAGTCTGACTGACGGAGAGAAGGTCGCCACTCTGGAGGGCAAGGACCTCTCCATCTCCTTGGATAATGGTCGGTAGCTTGTGATTAGGTGTAATAGCAATTATCAACTTTGTTTGTTTAAATATATATCCTCAATTTGGGCAAAAATGTTGCCGTTAATTACATTTTTCAGAAGAAAAAAAACCCGCTACCGTTTACTGATTTTGTTTCTTTGAATATCTTTATAAATAATATTACGTCCTAGACAGGGGAAAGGTATTTCTGATATCATTGCTTGCTTTCTTTTTAAATAGGTATGGTAAAGGTAGATAACGCTATGGTTATCCGTCCTGATGACGCCGTTACCAACGGAGTTATCCACATCATCGACAGCGTCCTTCTTCCGCCACAGTACAGACGTCACTTCCGGCTCAATAATTGAACATTACTCCAATCATAAATACCAGCTACATGTCCATTTCATGTGTATATTAATCATTGATTTGTTATTGTTGTATTGAATAAGGAAAATATAAAAATATTTCTTTTACAAATGCTTTTGTCTGTTGTGGTCATTTGTGCTTCTTGGATATAAAGGAAATGTAAATGATTGAGGACATACTGCTGTTCTAATGAAATTGTGTCTAGGTCCTTATTTTTAAACTGCTAATAATATTTTGATAAAAGTTCAGCTGAATACATGTAACTCCGAATGAAGATGTAAACTGTATTACTTAAATGAAGTATAGTGTACATTTATCAAATTCTAATGTGAACTTGACTAGGTTGCATGTCTGTACTGCACCAGACTAGTTGGTGGTCTACTAGAGGTCCTTTCTGAACCAGACTAGTCGGTGGTCTACTAAAGGTCCTTACTGCACCAGCCTAGTTGATGTTCTAAAGGTCTTTACTGCACCAGATTAGTTGGTGGCCTACTAAAGGTGTTTGTTTGAGATGTCTCGTAGGAATGTCTTCACAGACAACAGCTTGGCCGGCAGTCTTAATTTCTCCAATTAAGATATGTAGATATGTTGATATGTGTACATTTCTATCCCGTCATTTGATTTCTCTATGCTGGAGATCAACAGTATACATGCAACATAGTTGATTTTAGGGGTCCCTGTTCCGCTACAGAAAAAAAACCTAGAGAAATATGGAGACTTTGAAATTTTAATCTTCCGGAGATTGCCGGAAATTCCCAATGTTGTTGCAATTGTAGTATTGTCATACAGTTAAATTGTATTTAAGATACAACTGTACAGCGACTGGACCACGGTACCCTTAGATCGGAGGTTCAGGGTTCGAAACCTGGTCTGGCATATTTGCAGATTATGTTTTTTTACTTTCAGTGCTTAATTTTAGTTTTAGACAGTGGTAAACAGATCTTTAGCTATTCAATTCTTCTGACGACAATTTGTTTTCTCAAAGTCTACTTTGAGTCAGTTTTCTGCGACCATTAGATAAAGATGAGGAAATCTATCAGATAGTTTGAACTTGATGATATCGTTTACTATGTTGTCTTTACGAATACTGTCATCCACGTGTAGTATTTGTGTGGTCTGTTAACAGCAGGAGACTGAATTATATCACCGACGTGCTAAACATATACAGAGTGACACTCCAAAAGTATTTTATGGTAAATCATTTTCCATTTAATTCAATTGTAAATAACTATTCAAACCAAATCCTGGTTTCAATTTTAGCTGCAAAAGATGAATTTCAGCACACGACTGCTCTTTTAGTACGTGTAATATATATATAGTTATTTGTTTCATAGAATTCTTATCGTAATAGGTTATTCGGTCAAAGCAATTTATTATGGCAAATTTTTAATGTGTCAATATAAATGATGTGAAAGTATAATCTGTATGATGGGATGAAAATTGATATTTCAATAAGAAAGCCATAAGTAACAATAGGTAACCAGTCGAAGCACTAATTAATTTTCTAAAGGGATGTAGAGTTCGATCAAAATTGGGTGTAATGAAGGCACGTTATATGTTTGCTTGTGATTTAAAGAGACGTAAATTAACCTAGGATCCCATGGGAATACAACATAACATGAAATACGTATGGCCGTCATTGTATCATAGATAAGGGTAATGCCTGTGTAAGGATAAGCATTTTGAAAATGAAAAAATATTTTCAAATTATACGTTTGATTTAAGATTGTATGCTACTGTCACAGACATGAACTTTCCAGTAGATTTCCAAATTAAGAAACAGATACCTGTCAAATATCTACGAGAATTTACATGTGAAAATTAGGACAAATTTGTAAGGTACATCAGACTAAATTCGGGTTTTAAAATAAGGCACTATACCTTATGGATAATGTTCACTAAACAACTGTAAGGGAGATAACTCTAGCAAAACAAATCTACACTCTAATGGTAGCTGATAAAGGGTACATCCTCAAGGGAGATAACTTCCACACAAACCACATAATTAATGTGTAAGTTAGAACAAATTGATGGTTCGAAAACCAATAACAGACATACAGTAAGCACAATGTAAATGAAAGTAAACTGTGTCTATACAGAAACTGTTAGTGTGTGGTATAGTATTCGTGCACATGTACTAACAGTACATGACCGAAATAAGTAGACACAGATTACATGTATTTACAGTATATGATATATATAAGTATACATTGATATGGTCAAAATACCATAATTCATAACATTGTAACAACATAATATAAACATGTTCAGACTCCTGGATGTGTACATCAGAGAACCATTGGGTATCAACAACGGAAATATCCTTCAGACTCCTGGATGTGTACATCAGAGGACCAGTGGGTATCAACAATGGAAATATCTTTCAGACTCCTGGATGTGTACATGTGAGGACCATTGGGTATCAACAATGGAAATATCCTTCAGACTCCTGGATGTGTACATCAGAGAACCATTGGGTATCAACAATGGAAATATCCTTCAGACTCCTGGATGTGTACATCAGAGGACCAGTGGGTTTCAACAATGGAAATATCCTTCAGACTCCTGCATGTGTACATCAGAGGACCATTGGGTATCAACAATGGAAATATCCTTCAGACTCCTGGATGTGTACATCAGAGGACCATTGGGTATCAAGAATTGAAATATCCTTCAGACTCCTGGATGTGTACATCAGAGGACCATTGGGTATCAAGAATTGAAATATCCTTCAGACTCCTGGATGTGTACATCAGAGGGCCAGTGGGTATCAACAATGGAAATATCCTTCAGACTTCTGGATGTGTACATCAGAGGACCATTGGGTATCAAGAATGGAAATATCCTTCAGACTCCTGGATGTGTACATGAGAGGACCATTGGGTATCAAGAATGGAAATATCCTTCAGACTCCTGGATGTGTACATCAGAGGACCATTGGGTATCACGAATGGAAATATCCTTCAGACTCCTGCATATGTACATCAGAGGACCATTGGGTATCAACAATGGAAATATCCTTCAGACTCCTGGATGTGTACATCAGAGGACCATTGGGTATCAAGAATGGAAATATCCTTCAGACTCCTGGATGTGTACATCAGCGGACCATTGGGTATCAACAATGGAAATATCCTTCAGACTCCTGGATGTGTACATCAGAGGACCATTGGGTATCAACAATGGACATATCCTTCCATTTGTTTCAAAACATTCCTAAATTGAAAAAGTTGATTAATTTTACTCAAGACGCTCAATTTTCGTAATAAACATCAATTCATAAAGCTAAAACATATATACTTTTTTTTGCTTTCTTGCCTCTCCTGGAAATCTGTTTTAATATGCTTTCGATTATTTTATCTAGTCTGCAGTTAAAATGAAATATAGCCCCACTTTGACCTTAGTTTATAAGCATGTCTAATATGTTTTCCCATTATCTATTTATAAGTGAATTAATCTGAGCATTATTCCATTACGATTGGTCAATCTGTGTTTCCTTATTTCCATTCAATAAGCAATGAAGTGACGACATAATAACTACATCATCTAAACAAACCTTATAACATATATGACGGTATTACAAAGTACAGACAATGTCAATTTCAAGTAATTACTCTCATGTTTGATGTAGACGAAAAACGGTAAGTACCTTAAAACAATTTTAACCCAATCACATACCTAGTGTTAACATGTACAGCACTTACTAAAGCTATAATGATATACAGTTAAGTTAATGCAGGAATGAGGGTACAGCACTTTTGCCAAAATTCAGGATATTTGTACGTTTGTGATAGGGAGCGTAAGGATCATCCGGGTAGTGTCGATGTTTCCACCAGTAACCGGTGACCATCTTATCATACAGTTTGCTTTGTTGGCCGTTACACATGACATGTTGCTGTAGTTGATAGCGACGTTGGGTAGTCTCTGCCCACATTCTTCCCTTTCTTAAAGCTGACCATTGTCTTGGTGCCTACTTGTTGTAGGTATGGGGAGCACAACTGTGTCAGTGACCTATAATATAGTCTTACCTGGTTGATTTAAACTTAATCACCATAAACAAATGTACAGCAAACTGTATTATTATTCTACCATTTGTCATGAGAAATTATGAAATTAAAACGTTGTTTGTTCATAAGTGGGGGGAAATTTACAAAGAAATTGTGAAGAGGATACGGGACCTTTAAATACGTTGGCAGTAAACCAGATAGGAAAATGAACATTAAGTATTAATTATATTGAGATTCTACTGTTCTGCAACATCCTATAGCAAAACAACAGATAAAAATACAGAAATTAGTTTGTTATATCTTTGCTCTAGTACTTCAAATATTTATTACCATATTCATCCTAATAAATGCACTTACCCTTTAAAGGCACCCCAACCGTTTGTTCTTATTAAGAGAATGGGTGCATTTACTTAAAACCCATAGAAATGTTGCATACTTCACTGATATGCCAATATCATCTTCACTCGTATGACGAATGACTTTGTGAGCTTTAGCGTTTACATAACCAGGCGAGGTAATGTAAACCAGTGGCAATCTCATTAAAATCAGATGTTAATAAAAATACCTACGGTTCATGCGGTACGTAATAATGAACAGCTGTATTTATTTAGATTGAACTAGTGGTCTAGCATTATATTCTGATTATGCCTATTGTCTATGTAAAGTTAGTTGATTTGTTCCTTTGAACGACTGCACAAATGTTTGGGTGGTGGATTTGAATATATATAGAAAATGTCAGATTGAGCATGAAAGGGATTTATTAAGAGCACCCTTTTTGTGTTTGATCGAATATCGTATTTATTCTTCCACATCAGCAATGTTTTTCATTGTTAGACAACCATGGATTATTGGACAACATGCACTTGTCCTAATAATACTGCATGCGCAACACTAACACAAGGAAAGAACCAAAGTTAGTAGAATGTTCGGATCATCTAGAACATGTTACCCTATTAGTTTAGCAAAATTGCATTTTGTACCATATGATATGGTAATATCAACCGTCAATAC